TGATGGGCACAACCATTCAGGCCAAAACACGAACCAGACCTGGCCCCGGGTCTCTGCTGTTACCCTAATGTGTATCACCTCCTGCTTCCCCACCAGAGTCTGCCATGGAGAGGGACCGCTACATGAGCCCCATGGAGGCCCAGGAGTTCGGCATCTTAGACAAGGTTCTGGTCCACCCTCCCCAGGATGGTGAGGATGAGCCCACGCTGGTGCAGAAGGAGCCTGTAGAAGCAGCGCCAGCAGCAGAACCTGTCCCAGCTAGCACCTGAGAGCTGGTCCTCCTCTCCAGAATCACATGAAGGGGCCAGAGGCCAGCCAGACCCCCAGCTGGGCCCTGCTCACCCCTTGCTGCTGGGCCCGGAGGGGCCCCTTGAGGAACTTTTCATTTGCAAGGGTGCCCCCTATGGACGGGGCATTCCAGCTGAGACACTGTGATTTTAAATTAAATCTTTGTGGTCTTTGCTCTGCGTCTGGGACACCCTCCCTCTCTGCATGACGATGGCGTGTACACATCTGTATTTCACAGGCCCCTTGTGTTTTTGTCCCGAACCGAAGAGGTAAGCCATGTCTTGAGCAGATTCTCCTGATCATATCCTATATTCCAGGCAGTGTTCTTTTGTGAAGAAGACACAAGCAACCATCCTCAAAAGAGCTCCATTCTTGTGGCAGTAGATAGTTATTTAAAAAAAAAAAAAAAAGGCCGGGCACGGTGGCTCATGCCTGTAATCCCAGCACTTTGGGAGGCCGAGGCGGGTGAATCACAAGGTCAGGAGATCGAGACCATCCTGGCTAACACGGTGAAACCCCGTCTCTACTAAAAATACAAAAATTTAGCCGGGCGAGGTGGCGTACACCTGTAATCCCAGCTACTCCAGAGGCTGAGGCAGGAGAATCACTTGAACTTAGGAGGCGGAGGTTGCAGTGAGCAGGATCACGCAACTGCACTCCAGCCTGGGCAACAAAGCAAGACTCTGTCAAAAAAAACAAAAAACACAGGAAAGGTGGCATGCAAGTGTGAGGGTGAGTGTGTTACAGTTTTCTATGGGGTAATCAGGGAAGCCCTCACTGAGAAGGTGGTGGTTGAGCAAAGCCTCAAAGAAGGGGAGGGATGGAGCCTGTGTCCAGGCAGAGGACACAGCCAGTGCAAAGGCCCTGTGGCAGGACAGTACCTGGCATGTGAGAGGACCTATGAGGAGGCCCGTGGCTGAGGGAAGGTGGAAGAGATGAGATCAGAAAGCAGAGGTGAAAATTAGCCAGGCATGGTGGTGTGCTTGAACCCGGGAGGCAGAGGTTACAGTGAGCCAAGATCACACCACTGCACTCCAGTCTGGGCAACAGAGTGAGATTCTGTCCACAAAAAAAAAAAAAAAAGTGGAGGTGATTGAGGAGAATAGATCATAAAAGGCCTGACATCTAAAAGGAGGGAGGTGAAACATGGAGAGTTTTGAGAAGAGGAAGGAAAATAAGGATGACTGACTCCTGAGGAGTGCACCCTGGACGGAAACTGGAGAGCAGTTAGGAGAGCTGGAGTAATCCAGATGAAAGCTGATGGCAGGCCTGGCCGAGTGGTGAGACAAAGTCAGATTCTAGCTAGGTGGGATGTGACAGAGAGCAGTTTCCAGAAACTCCGAGCTGATGGCCCAAAGCAGGAAGATGGAGACCTGTCACCTGAGATGGGAAGTGTAGGGAAAGGAACAGGCTTGGGGAGGGATCGGGACTTGATTTTGGATATATTATACCTGGTGTTTGTTATGTCCCTGGACATCAGGGTCAAGAGGTTGAAATAAAAATGTAGGCAGCATTAGCATGTAGGTTAATTACCAGTCAGATTGAGAGATGGCTATTGGATTCGGTGCTGTGGATGTCACTGGTGGCCTTAAATCAGGGCATTTCTGGTACTGTGGGAGCCAAAAGCCAGGCTGGAGTGGATCCAGAAAGAATAGGAGGAAATATCAGACACAGACAAGTCTTTCGAGGAATTACACTATCTCCTCGATAGTGTAATGATTACTACACTAAGCGGAGCAGGGAGCTGGGGGGCGGATGTAGCCGGAGGGAGAAATGGGGTCAATAGTTTTCAAAATTCAAGCATTCGGGAGGGGGGCGGGCTATGCTTAGCAGTTACAGTGTTGCACTTTGCATTATGGACATTAAAAATACATAGAAAAGTACCCTGAGCTTTGAGAGGCTGAGGGAAGAGGATCTACCTGAACCCAAGTGTTCGAGGCTGCAGTGAGCTACGATCCTGCCCTTGCACTCCAGCCTGGGCAATAGAGGGAGAAAATAATAAAACATTTTATTATTATTCTGTAAAAAAATAATTAAAAAATATAGGCCGGGCATGGTGGCTCACTCCTGTAATCCCAGCACTTTGGGAGGCCAAGGCAGGCGGATCACCTGAGGTCAGGAGTTTGAGGCCAGCCTGGCCAATGTGGTGAAACCCTATCTCTACTAAAAATACAAAAATTAGCCAGGCGTGGTGGCAGCTGCCCGTAATCTCAGCTACATGGGAGGCTAAGGCAGGCGAATAGCTTGAACCTGGAAGGCTGAGGTTGCAGTGAGCCAAGACCGCACCATTGCACTCCAGCCTGGGTGGCAAGAGGGAAATTCGGTCTGAAAAACAAAACAAAAAAAGCTGGGCATGGTGGTTTGGTGCCTGTAATCCCAGCTATTTGGGAGGCTGAGGCATGAGAATCACTTAAACCCAGGAGGCAGAGGTTGCAAATCTCCAGGGCCCAAGATCGTGCCACTGTGCTCCAGCCTGGGCAACAGAGTGAGACTGTCTCAAAAATAAATAAAAATAAATATAAACAAAAGTAGAGAAAACAGGGTAATGAGACCCCATGTACTTATCACACCAGTTCAACAATTAATTCACGGTCAAATGTGATTCTTCCCTACCCGACCCCATCCCTGCCTCCACAGCCTAGATTTATGTGGAAGCAAATCCCAGAGATCTTTTCATCTGTAAATATTTTTTTTTTTTCAGTTTGCATTTGTAAAATACGAGGACTTTTTTTTCCTTTTTTTTTTGATACAGAGTTTTGCTGTGTCACCCAGGCTGGAGTGCAGTGGTTGGATCTTGGTTCACTGCAACCTCCGCCTCCTGGGTTCAAGCAATTCTCCTGCCTCAGCCTCCTGAGTAGTTGGGATTACAGGCGCGCGCGCCACCACGCTCGGCTCATTTTTTGTATTTTTAATAGAGACGGGTTTTCACCATGTTGGTCAGGCTGGTCTCGAACTCCTGACCTCAGGTGATCCACCCACCTCGGCCTCCTAAAGTGCTGGGATTACAGGCATGAGCCACCACGCCCGGCCAAGGAATAAAAAAGACAACCATAATGCCATTTTCAAACCTAAAGCAAAGTAATACGGAGACAGGGAAATGAATGAAGAAGCCTTGCTTTGACCTTTGACCATAAGCCCTAACTCTGAATAGCTGGCCCCACCACACACATAATCGTGGCCTTGACGTCAGTCCCCTAACCCCGGACCCTTATCTCGGCCTCACTGTACTCTGCCCTTAACCTCTAGCCCTAGAGCCCTTAACTGTGGCCTTGGCCCCAATCCCCGTGACCTCCGGACTTCAGACCAGATACTACCCATATCCCCTTGTGAGGTCTTGGTCAAGCATCACCTGGGTTGTACGTTTTCTCTTTCATCATTAAAAAGGCGGTGCTAAGCTGCAGACGGACTTCCGACTCAGCCAATGGTGTAAGCCAGGCAGGAGGTGGCGCCCAATAAGCTCAAGAGAGGAGGCGGGTTCTGGAAGGAAGCCAATAGCTTGTGAAGGCGAGTCTAGCAGCAACCAATAGACGTGAGGGAGAGGCGGGACTCCGAGGGAGGTCAATCGCTGGAGGCGTCTGGCGCAGCTACAGCCAATGACTTTTGGCGGAGGCGTTCCCCAACCCTGGCCTCTCCCATGACCCCGCTCCGGGGCTATG